ATCCACATCTGCACCAACTAGAAATCAAAAACAACAAGAACAAACAAATGGTTTTAATTCCTGATGAGAATTAAATCTGTATTTTCTTTTTAATGTAAAGTTTAGCTTAGTTGTCAGGTGTAATGTAACGAAGTACAATAAGTACTAAAGTTATTTTTGCAAGGAGCTGTAACTTTACCAAGTATTTTTTTTAAATCATAACTTTTAATTTTATTTTGTTACATTAAACCATAAAAATGATACGTTTACTTCTTTACGTTAGAATTTAACACCTCGTTACGCGTTACAAATTTAAATATGACCAAACTCATCATGAAAGGAGTTTCTGCACTCTAAAAATGAAGTGTTGAATTTACTGAACCAAGTTGTGTCAACTGGTTCCCCTTAACCGAGATCAGCAAATCGAGTATTTTGCACATTTGTGTCGCTTGCTTTGTATTTACTAAACTCAGCTTAGTGGAACCAGTTGACATATATTTTGTCAATAATGCGCCTCTGCTTGTTGCCACCTTCTCTGGAGTGTGAGATTGTAGATAACTAAATGATGGGGGGCAAAATAGACCAAGAAAAAAGAAACAGTATTCTACCATATTGTATAATACTGAATCCTTTTCTAACATGTAATAAATTCTACAGCAGGGGTCTCCAACCAGTAGCTCATGAGCTCATTTAAAGTAGCTCTTCAGTGCTCATGAAAAATTAGGAGAAGCAAAATTTAATTTGTCATCGGCCAACCAAACTTTAATTTAATTACAATCAATCTAAGATATCCCTTCCCCTTGGTTGTCATTCAAACTGTTTATGTAAATTCAGTGTATTTTGTGGTGGTTTCATGTGAACTGAAGACATTTTTTTTGTGCAAATCAAGCTTATTCCAATGGTTTAAGTTTAAATTTAAAATTAAATGTTGCAAAAAGTAGCTCTCGGACAATTTCATTTTGTAGTTCTTAAGTAAGAAAAGGTTGGATACCCCTGGTTCTACAGTATTGTATCTTATTACACCATCCATCCATCCATCCATTTTCTGTACACGCTTATTCCTTTTCAGGGTCGCGTGGGTCACTGGTGCCCATATCCAGCAGTCACAGTGCGAGGGGCGGGGTACACCCTGGACAGGTCGCAAGTCCATCACAGGGCCACACATAGAGACAAATGAGACAAACAACCATTCACTCTCTCACTCACACCTAGGGACAATTTAGAGTTATTAATTAACCTGACAGTCATGTTTTTGGTCTGTGGGAGGAAGCCGGAGTACCCGGAGAGAACCCACTCATGCACGGAGAGAACATGCAAACTCTACCCAGAAAGGTCCCGCGACCGGGATTTGAACCGGTGACCTTCTTGCTGAGAGGCATCAGCTCTACCAACTGAGCCACCGTGCCGCCCTTATTACACCATGTTGTGTCATATTGTTTTTCATGGTGAAATATTTTATTGTACCACATTGTACCGTATTGTGTCACATTGTTTGTGCTATATATTTGTTAAAATTGAAATGTGGGAGTACGCGTGCAGTGCTATGTGGCCCTCTGGTAGTGTCAAGAAAAAGTTGCAACCCCTTCCATCCTTTAAGTTGCCCATTCCTGTTTTAAATAATAAAACAAAACATAATATAATAACTAAAGGACTTTTGTGTTTCAGTGCAAACAAATCCTGTTAATAAGCTGCACCGAGGGAAAGCTCACACTCGCAAAGATTTAGCCGTAAGTTGCTGGTGTGGAACTGATTTTCAGAGCTCACTTGAGGAAGATGAGAGCAGTGTTTGTACTACAGTGCGTGAGGATTCTAGCTGGAGAAGTTTGGAGGAGACACTTCAGAGAAGGAAAAAAAAAAAAAAAAAAAACAGCGGCAGGAGCTCCACTTCCAGCTGTCAGGGAGCTAATGCTGCTGCAGACGATGCAGTGTTTTGGGACTAGGCCTGCTCCTCCTCAGAAGCACGGAGTGTGACAGCTGTGGAAATCCCCCGGCCAGGTACGTTCCAAAACTCCTGATCAACATGTGCACACACACTCCTGCAGACAAATACGCAGGCCACGTTCCTCCTCGTGCCCATCAATATTACATGATGCAGACTTGGGCATAATGTACACTTACTTATCATTTCTTCACTCTCTCCCTCTGTAACCCCCCCTCCACTGAGATGTTAACCTGTAAATAATAAAACTTTAGCGCTCCTGGTGTCACTTGCTGCTCGCGAGAGACAAGATGGAGGAGCGGAAACGACCGGAGGGGACGAAGGCTCGATGAAATTGAACTCTTTCCCGGATCATGAATATTTTCCACATCAGCTGGAGGCGGGAGGATGTAGAGACTTATCAGAGCTGTTTGTATCCCTGCGTTGATGTAATTCACTACTTCTAACAGGAAGAAGGTCATGTCTGATCAGTACTTAAAAGACAAAAATGGACAGAGGCAAAATGATGAACTGGAAGAGCCGTTATACACACAAGTTCTCCATTCAGGGAGTAACAGAAATTTGTGGTACTGCAGCAATAATAATAAAAAAGCTCTGGATGAGAGAATGACCTACATAATGAGGAGCAGAGCTCGGGTGATAAGGCTTTTATGGAGTGACAGCTGTTCTACCTGCCGTTGTCACCTTGACAGAGCAAAGGGACTCGTCAATAAACCCCAAACTAATGAGTGTCATTGTAGTTTACAGCGTGAGGCAGCGGAGACAACATTATCCCACCTGTCTGCTGTATTAAGCACATCCAAACCACCTCCACCAGCAATTTATGACAGAGATTTTTCAGCTTATCCAGCGCGATTGGAAGCCTCATGATTTTCTGAGCCACTGCTGGTCCCAGTGGAGACAAAGTGTCACTCAGAGGGAAAACTTTGCAAGGGGAGAGGAGAGACTACTTCCTCATTTCCAGCGAGTGCACCAATGCCCAGGTGCTCTTTTCAGGTGCTACAGTATGCAGTTTGTCTGAGTGAAAGAGACAGGTCTGTGTCTGGCTTTCCTATCATCTTCGGCTGCTCTTTGCCTCAGTGTCAGCAGACTGAACCTTCCTTCCTGTCAGTCTGCCGGAACTGATGATGAATTATAAAAAAGGGCCAGCTCTTCTGGAGAATACAGATGTTTTCACACATGCACACTTCATTTCTCGAGGACTAGACAACTGTGGAAAGCTTTACCACACCGGCAGTGGAAATGGAGGACTTACTACGCAAGCTCAATGAGAGGAAAAGAGCTAATTAACTTGAATGAAAACATTAGTCTATGGAGAACCAAGTGTAAAATAAAATACTAAAAATATCACAGTTTTTATCATTTGAATCACTCTGAGAGTAAAATAGTTAAAAAGTTCTGCTAACATTTTATTGTTATTTAGCTCACTGCTCTTGCATTTTGCTATATTTTACCAAATGTTAAATTTAAATGTAAAATTCTAAATCTAAATGTGTAAATCTTGTGGCTAAATGTAGAAATATACATGTAAGTATTTCAAAATAGAACGCAGCCTTTGTCGTTGATGCGTGACTTCTGTTATGATGTCATCATTCTGAGACAAAAGCAACCGCTAACGCTGCAAACGCTGCTAACGCTACCCTACAAGACAGCAAACTTGCAGTTGCGGCCAGTGTCCGAGCTGCACTTCAAACCGCCGGACCACAGGTACCATCCATATTGTTTACAACAAACACATTTTAAATTTAGCTTTTAAATACCATTTTCACCAGCATTAGCAGCGTTAGCGGTTGCTTTTGTCGCAGGATGACGACAAGGCTGCTTTCTATTCCGAAATTCTTAAACGTAAGCTTTATCATTTAGCACCAACATTTAAGATTTACCTTTTATATTTAGATTTAGGATTTAACATTTAAATTTAATATTTAGCAAAAAATAGCCAAAATGTAACAACAGTGAGCTAAATAATAAACTGTTAGCAGAACTTTTTAACTCTCAGAAAGTGAAATAAATAATAAAAAATTGTGTTAGTGACAGTTTTTAACATTTTTATTTTACACTTAACACCCTGTAGCAGTCTTCTAAGGTTTTTCATGCTTCTGTTTGGAAAATATCTTTGACAGCTGAGCTTTATGTGCATATTTTAAATAAAACAAAGCTCCTGATCACTACAGGACACTTACTGACGTCAATAATTCAACAGATTTAATTTCAGACCCGACACACTTGGGCAAAGAGAAGCCCGCAGGAGAGCGCCGACACTTGACAGAGGGCTTTGTTTTGAGTGTTTGACTCAGCGGTCAAGGCGAACCGAAGCAGGTGCCGGAGCACACGAACCAAGCGGCCGAGCTGCCTGATTGGTATGCCGTCTCTTTCTGAAGTAAGAGCAAACAGAGGGTTGTTTTAATTGAGACACTGAGGAAGAGAGGCGTCGCACTAACAAACAGGTAATTATGCAACTCCCAGCTCCGCTAAAGCAGACTGTGAATCCATTAAGGCCTCTTTACAAAAAACGCCTCTTTTTTTCTTTCGCTCTTCACAGATTTTTTTTCTTTCCCTCTAAAATCCCTTTGCATGCGGCTGCCACTGTTGAGTAGGAGTGAGGTTCTCGATGTAAAATTCATAACAATTAACCATCAATCAGATTTAACCTCTGGGGTCACTGTAAGTGCTCCTTTCTCTGCAAACGTGCCGGCCAGATTAATACAGTGACAAAATGTGCCTGTACATGTCAGCTAATCCATTTATTTATTCAGCGCTCCCAGACTGTCTGATGAATCGCTCCCACACCGACGATGGAAAGAAAAGAGACAAGAGAGGGAGTGAGAGCGTGCTGTGCTGCTCGCTCAGCGGTGTGTGTTAGCATGTGTGTAACCCCACCCCCCATTAACACACACCTGACTGAGCATCAAGGAGCAGTTTGCAACATGTAAACAACGAGGAAGACTTTTGCAGAGATCCTCCTAAACACCTGCACTTGTTTGTTCTCAACCAAACAAACAGACAACCTGAAATTCTCACTGCCCACACAATCCACACACCGTTAAAAAAAGTGACAATTTTTAGAAAGTTTCATTCTTACCCTGAGTGGCGATGTAGTGATTTGGCCTGTGGTAGCCCTGAAAACAGAAAAAAATACAAGAGTCACTTTACTTTCCTCCTACTCTTAAAAACACCAGGTTATTTGTCTCAAGAAACATATTGTCTTTGATTTTTTTCTCTGCAGAGTTTGACCCTTTAGTGCTAACTTACAATGCTAACACCACTTTGCAGAACAAATTTAACGTATAAAGACTCCCACTTAACAGCTGCTTTTTCAATTAGCAGCTGCCAAAAGGTGAGCGATTACTGTCTGGATGAATTTGTTTGTGTGTCTATTCACAAAATACAGCGGGTAAAATAATTATTGAACACGTCACCATTTTTCTCGGTAAATATATTACTAGAGGTGCTAATGACATGAAATTTTCACCAGATGTCGGTAACAACCCAAGTGATCCATACATACAAAAAAATCAAACCATAAATGTCCAGAAATGAAGTTATTTGTTATAATGTGGAATGGCACAGGGAAAAAGTATTGAACACATGAAGAAAGGGAGGTGTAAAAAGGCATGGAAAGCCAAGACACCAGCTGAACTCTCTCAGTAATTAGAAAGCAAGCCTGCCCCTTGTCAGTGCAAGTTAATATCAGCTGGTTCAGTCCCAAATGATGGCCAGGTATCACACAAGAACCATCTGATGATGGGTAAAAGTAAAGAGCTCTCTCAAGACCTTCACACCTTATTGTTGCAAAGCATAATGATGGCATCGGTTACAGAAGAATGTCTAAACTTCTGAAGGTTCCAGTGAGCACTGTTGGGGCCATAATTCAGAAGTGGAAAGAACATCATTTCACCATAAACCGACCACGACCAGGTGCTCCTCACAAGATTTCTGACAGAGGAGTGAAAAGAATTATCAGAAGAGTTGTCCAAGAGCCAAGGACCACTTGTGGAGAGCTTCAGAAAGACCTGGAATTAGCAGGTATGTTTGTTTCAAAGAAAACAATAAGTAATGCACTGAACCACCATGGCCTGTATGCACGCTCACCACGCAAGACTCCACTGCTGAAGAAACAGCATGTTGAAGCTCCTTTAAAGTTTGCTGCACAACATTTAAACAAGCCTGTGAAATACTGGGAGAATATAGTCTGGTCAGATGAGACCAACATTGAACTGTTTGGATGCCAGAATACACATCATGTTTGGAGGTCAAATGGCACTGCACATCAGCCCAAAAACACCATACCAACAGTGAAGTTTGGAGGTGGGAACATCATGGTGTGGGGCTGTTTTTCAGCATATGGTACTGGCAAACTTCAAATAATTGAAGGAAGGATGAGTGGAAAAATGTACAGAGACATTCTTGATAAAAATCTGCTTCCATCTACCAGGATGATGAACATGAAACGTGGCTGGACATTTCAGCAAGACAATGAGCCCAAACACAAAGCCAAGGAAACTCTCAGTTGGTTTCAGAGAAAGAAACTAAAGCTGCTGGAATGGCCCAGCCAATCACCTGACCTGAATCCAACAGAAAATCTATGGAAAGAACTAAAGATCAGAGTTCATAGAAGAGGTCCACGAAACCTTCAAGATTTGAAGACTGTTTGTGGAAGAATGGGCCAAAATCACACCTGAGCAATGCATGCCACTAGTTTCTCCATACAGGAGGCGTCTTGAAGCTGTCATTGACAACAAAGGCTTTTGTACAAAGTATTAGATAAATTTCAGTAAGTGTGTTCAATACTTTTTCCCTGTGCCATTCCACATTATTACAAATAACTTCATTTCTGGACATTTATGATTTTGATTTGTATGTATGGATCACTTGGGTTGTTACCAACATCTGGTGAAAATTTCAAGTCATTAGCACCTCTAGTAATATACTTACTGAGAAAAATGGTGACGTGTTCAATATTTATTTTTACCCGCTGTATTTCAATAAAACTCAAAAGAAACTTTCAGAAAGCATTGATTAGATGTACTGTTTTAAAGTCGTCCCAGTACAAGATGGCTGCCGCGGCTAATCAACCTTAGGAAACAGAAAAATGGTGAGAACCTGGTCTATTTTACAGATGTTGAGATAAAACTAGGTGTGGTAGTAGCTGAAAGTCTTTCCCCACAAATAAAGATGTTTTTGCCAAATTTTAACGTTCAAGGTTACGTATAATAAGACTTCTAATTTCAGTTATTCCTGAAAGATTACAATTTGAGTTTTACACCCTCAGAGGGACGTGTGTTCATTCTGCTGTCTTCATCTTTCCAGATGTTTCTCTGCATGACTGACTGAGCTCATACAGAGTGCTTCTCGATACACGACGCAAAAAAAGCATCCATGCAGCACACCTCTGGACTACAGACAGTCAAAGTGTTGATAATCCCCCAGATACAACTAACAGTGCTGATCTTCACAATAAGGCCCCCAGTCTCAGGGATTACTCTAATCCCTTCAAGTTATTTGTCCAATTCCTTGTCTTCTCCTCAGAGATATGAAGCAGGAAACAAAACATTAGGACTTAAAGGCTCTTCCTCGGCCCAGCCTCTTCTTGATTGCCCCCACCTCCCCCGCCCAGCCACCCCTGCTGCTCTGCTTATCTCACTCATATTCAATTTAACGTGGACCGTGATTAATGCTCCTCCAATGAAGGGAGAAAGACACAAAGGATATTTTCCTCATTCTCTCTCATCCACAGGGCTCCTTCAGCTATTCAAGTCTCCTCCATTTTTAATGACTTCTTTATCTCCGGACTACGGAGGAGATTTGTTTGCGCTTTCATGTGTGTTCGTTTGAGTAAAGTGGAGGCCCAGAACGCACGTCGGATTAGACAGGAGAAGACGGAGAGAAAGGAATGGCCCTGGCAGTCACTCAGGTGAGCAGAGCGGGGTATTATTTTTTTTTAAATAAGCACATTCGGAATAAATTAATGCTTCTTTATGTTCAACAGAGTGGAGGGAGAAAGATGAAAAAGATTTGTTTCCAAGAACGTTGAATCTGTGGAGATCTTGTGAGCATTTACATCTCATTTCTTCACATTAAACGTGGAAAGTGGAGAGTCCAAAATATTCAGCAGGAAGTGTTTTTGCCTGTGGGCATGAACTGGTATTTTCCATTAGAATATGATCACATAGCACACTTTGGCAAATCCTGAAACCAGACACCTGCTTTATACATATTTAGTCGGACAAGAACATCTAAGAAGAATAAAGTAAAACAAGTTTTGCCTACAAATATAGTAAACAACTCAGGGAGGAGAAAGACATAGAAATAAAACACTCAAAGGCCTCTGACTCAGTTTCTAGATGACTGTATTGTAATATGGAAATTTAGCAGATATAAAAGTTTTTATTTGATACACTAATATTTTGTGCTTCATTTTCTTTCAGTTTTCTCCATTTTTTTCTGCTGCAGCTGAAATGTTTTCCGAGCAATACGCTGACAGTTTGGTCCTTGGTCCAACTGTCATATTGTCCCTGGGAAAGACACTAAACTCCATGTTACTGTTTATCAGTGTCACAGGGCAACCTGTAAGAGATGGAATGGTCTAAGTATCACTGCATGAATGTAGTACAAGAGCTCTTTGTGCATTTAAATGCAGTCTATTTACTGTTTAGTGATTAAGTCAGGTTCTTTAACAGTCCAAATTAAACTAAAAGAGCAAGGAAACAATAAACCATTGGTTGAAATTCCCAAATTAAAGTCTTAACATACAAAAGTAGACATTAATTTGTTTTAAATTGTGACAAGACAAAATTGGGTTAAACTGGGTTCACCCAAACAGATCACTTCTATCCCCAAGATTGAAAAGTGGACTAATCCAGCAGGATGATGGGTTGGGTGTGCACAGAGGAGAAGGTTGAATCCTGCATTTGTGCACATCAACACAAGGAACTTTATCTACCACAGAAATTAAAATCTTCTCCAAGTACCATCTATTACAACAGACTAAAAGAAAGAGTCGCACAAAGTTACAGGGACAAACCCCTAACTGTAAAACCCGCTTAAAGCTCCATGAATAGTTCTGTAGATCCAGTCTGTCTTGTCTCTTTCTATGACCCACAACAACCGAACACAGGTTTCAAAGTTTTGCACTTTTTGTTGCCAACAGGTCCAGTAGAGACATTAGTACCACTAAAAGGATCCTGAGTACCACCAGCAGTACTTGTGCCACAATTTGAGAAACATCCCATATAGCAGAGAGGTGTGGGCCAGACCTGGTGTCAAGCTGTCAAGGCGAGTGGTTTGTCAACCAGACATTGGCCAGGTTTGGATGATGGCACTATTTAAAATAGCCCAACTGGCCCATTTGAGGTTTGGTTTATGAGGCCCAAATCAGTCAATGCTGCAAGTGGCCCAGTTGTGGTTTGGTTCCACCTTTGGCAAACCACCAAAGGGTCATTATTTGTGGTATCTGAGCTACGTAAATAGTGCATTGAACTGGGCCAGACAAATTTTGCTATGTGGGATTGTACTAAACTAAGTACTTTTCCTCAATATCGGGAATCAAAGCCAAGAGGACCTGGTTTATGCATGCCACTATGTTGTTTTTGAGACCAGCACACTAGAGATGTGAGACTTTAAGTCCTCCTGCTCCTCTGCACACATCCATGGTGCTACATGACCATTTCTCTAAGCATGAAACAGACTTTAAAGACGCTGTACCCAGTCTGTCTTCAACTTTTAGGCTCTTTATGGTGTTCCGTTAGGTTAGGTCCATAATGTGAAACTGCAGATTAGGTCATCATCAAGCAAAATCAACACTTCTGGGTTCATTGTTTTAGGGTAACACAGATAAGTTTTGCAGATGCATTCAGAGAACAGATTGCAGTGAACAAACAGTCTGTGACAACACTGATTAAATAAAGCAATGAATATATTATCCTATGAAGAAAAACAAAACAAAAACAAAAACACGTGTAAACGAGTGGGAACATTTAATGGACATGGTTCTGAGCCCCTGAGTGACCGGATTTCTGTGTACCCGTGCAGATTTACCAAAGCTCTGCATCACTTCAAGCATTTACCGTTTATGTGCACATACAGACGTGCACATACAAGTCTGCAAGCAAGGAACCATTACAGTTTCATTGCCTCCTAAATGTTTATGAAAATACTGAATCAGCTGCAGAGAAGAGAAATGCACCCGCTCTGCTTGCTCGTACATGACTCCATATAATCGGAAGTATAATAGAGAACAATAACAAACACTGTGGGAAGCGTTCTACACATAAGAGTTTATTGGCAGAACAAGCTTTTAGATGGGTTAAAAAGCTTTCCGAAGAGCAAAAACATCATTACCCATCTGCTTGAGTTTCTACTAAGTACTTTTCCAACGACTCTGGCGGAGCGGCAGAAATCCTTTTCAATCAGGAGCGTCTTTAATATGCGTGTATTCTTATCTTCTAATGGGACTCTCTGCTGTGAGTCTTCTCCGCAGCATAATGGGCCATAAACTAAGTAGTGGGAAAGGTAAATAATTTAAACCTCCTGCATTTGCTGTGGCACACCTTGCATTATGAATTTATGTTTGAGGGAGTAACAAGAGATTACAAATCACCACATTACAGGACGGGGAGGAGCAGAGAGGATGGGAGACGGACTGAAAGTTCTCTTCGGAGAGGATAACCACTTAGAGATCTGGCCCATTACGCACAGAGAGAAAGCATCTGCTTAAGGAGGCCAGTGAGGCGCTGTGATTGGTCACGTCCAGCACCTAACACTGCTATTAACAGCAAATCAGGTCAGATCAGGAGGTTCTCTGTTGTGTGGGCCGAGTGAGTTAGATTTGTTTTCAGCAGCAGCTCTGCCCTGTGCTATTTTTAAGTAACTTTTACTTACAGAAAAAACAACTCAACTTGTTCCAGTGCACGGAAAACATGTACTTTAAAGGGGGTTATTATGTAAATCATGTTATAATGTCATTCCCTTGTCAAAAAATAGATGCTTTGACTTATTCATGTTTAAGAAATCCTTGGATCTCCTGTGGTAGCCATGTGGAGCTGTCTAAATGCTTGATGGTACAAAGCTCCACCTATTTACACAAAGCTCCTCCCTGGAGCTCAGTTCTTAGCTGAGTTCCCACCTCACAGAGAACCCCTCTCCCTACAGACTGGCAGAACAAGCTTTTAGATGGGTTAAAAAGCTTTCCGAAGAGCAAAATCATCATTACCCATCTGTTTCTGACACTCCCACTTCAGCCAGTACAGACTGGCTGAAGTGGGAGTGTCAGAAACGGTAGGCCAATTTCAAGGCATTTAGATAGACTATCATCCATGTCTACTTGTACGGATTGTCTGTAAGTTATAAGGATTTTACGTCATTTTGCAGTTATACGGACGTATAGAGCAATCTCACGGATTTTTTCAAGACTTACGGATTTTTTCAAAACCTCATTTTCAAATTTATCTAACATGTCAGAGCCTGTAGGATGATTTAAAAAAAACAAACAACAACAAACAGTCATCTTCCAACCTGTTCTTCCGCTAGAAATAAGTTTTGAACTTTTTCCGCTCTTGCTTTCCTGTCTGCAGCTGACAGACACCTCCCCCCCCCCACCACGGGTGCGAGTTGTACGAATATTTATTTATTTATTTTTACAAAATTTACAGATTTTTGAGGCTTTTTATACAGGTAAACGTCCGAAGAGGTTGACATGCTTGGACTATGATAAAAAGTCACTATATTTTTGATTTCTACAGCATTTTCATAACAGCTGAAGGTAAAATAGTTACTGGCTTGTGTTAGATGATTGAACCATGTTTGGTAAATACACACTACCTCCCACTTTAAGACGTTTTTAATTTATTTATATAAGTTTCCAAAGAAAACAAAGTTAAAAACTGTAATTTTAGTTCCCCCTGTGAGCTGGTTTGTCTTTTCTGTGCTAGGTCGATGCCAGCCTCTGATCTTTATTCTTCTTAATGTGTCCAATAAGCAGAGGCAGCCGGCCTGTGAAGCTGAATAATAAAAACAACTGGTATGTGTATGACTGGGCGTAGTTGTGCGTGTGATGGACAGGCAGCTGGAGCTGCGCTGTCCCCCAGGCCCTCCGGAGACGGAGGCACCAGCGCCCTCTCCCTCCCCGAGAGGAAGCGCAGTGACCTTTTGCAGTGGTGGCGCTGGCTGGTGTGTGTACTTACATCAACGTAATTTGCATTAATGTAATCGGAGCTCTGTTCCCCCTCCAGGGCCTGCAGCCTGACACGGGAGTGATCATCTGGAAGAGAGGCAGAGGAGGAGGAAACCGGTGTTGAATTAATCATATTAACGAGGCCAAGAAAGAGAGGAGACGGAGGGACAGACGGGGAGGACAGATTTTGGGGAGAAACTACAAGATGTGTGATAGAGGTGGAAAAAAAGCAGAGGAGCAGGGGTGCAGCTTAGAGTGGTGTGAGTAAAAGATGCAACACAGGAGATGTTTGAGAGCAGAGGCTCACAAAATCTACAAAAACAAAACGACTGAAGCTCATTGGTTAAAACAGATCAATAATATGCAATTAAAAGAAAAGCACAAAAACAACAAAAAACAGGAGATTTTAGTTGTTTTATCTTTTAATCATCATTTATATGTTTAAATCGATATTCAACATTTATAATCACAAAATTAAAATATTAAAAATAACTTAAATATGAATGTGAGAAACTAGGAAATGTAAAATAAATGTTTTTGTGTTGATTAAACTTTATTTGCATATGGAAAGATGTAATAAATGACATAAATTAAATTTTAATTCTGTTCACTGCTGCCAGAAAAGATGGGTACTAATGTAATAGAACATGTTTGTGTGTTTGTCATCAAAATATCTCATTAACCACTGGATGAAGTCTGTTACAGTAATCATTAGATATGTCTACAATTGATTCATCTTTAAACTTCCAGCGCAAAAATCTGGCTTTTATGACATTTATGAGCTAAAACTGAGTGTGGTAGTAGCTGAGGGTCGTCATCACTGAGTGCTAACAGATTATGCTTGATTAATTCATTAATTCAAGATATAAAGTTAATGTTCCAATGTAAAGAGATGTTGCGAAACGAGCGAGGAATAAATTCATCTTTTCTTAACGTTGCTGAAGCTGTGACGTCCTGTCCTGCGTGGCCTATTTCTCCTAACTGAAAAGGCAGCGCGGGATGAATATAAAAGCAGAACGGAAAGGTCAAAGCTGCTCTCGTCGGCTGATAATAAAACTCTATTTGAGCAGCTTAGAGTCACCCAGTCACAAACCGAGCCAATAAATCAGACAAAAGTACAGCAGTGGTAGAAAAAAATAAAATAAAATACATAAAAGTCAGATGTGGAGAAGAGGAGCTTTGTACACACATGCAATAATATTCCCATATCGGTTCTTCATGCGGTTCTCATCCTTTTTGGCAGAATCCCACGGGGCAGATTGTCCTTCAAAAAAGCTCTGGAAAAGGAGAAAACACAGAACAGAAAGGAGATCAAATAGCAAGTCATGTGTGAGCACTCTAAATGATAACCAGGAAGAAAAAAAAACAAACACTTTTCCATTTTCAGTTCAACAAAGACAAACATTCACATCATAATCAGAGATGAAACTCAGCACGAGTGGGAGATCCCGAGGACGAGCATAAAAAAAAACAAAAACCTGAGCGCCATTAGGGCAGAGTGGCGGGGTGTCGCACTCAAACCTGTCCCCCGGGCGGAGCAACCCCAGCCTGTCTGCCTCCCTCCTCTGAAGGACTCAATCAGCTCGTTGGAGAGCGGGGGGCGTGGAAAGAAAAAAAAAAAAGAAGCCCGCTCAACGTCTGCAGATCAAAACTGCTCCGCTCAGATTACGCTCATGAAATATTTATCATCTCTCGCAGGGGAGATTTCTATTCTGATGGCACATCAGGCACAATTAGACCAAATTATGAAAATGCATCCTCAATGCCAGTCCACCGCCGCTCAGCGGGGCTGGGAAAGGTTGGCTCCGAGCAGACTGGGGCTGCACAAAATAAAATGTTAATCTGCCTTTTGGATCGGAAGCTAATGCACATTTGAAAAGTCAGCTAATACATTACAGAGCATCTGCAAAAACACAAAAAAACAAAAACAAAACATATACTAGAGGTTAAGGAGGTAAGGGTTTCTTTTTAGTGTGCGGAGAAGGAAGTGTGTTCAATCATCTCTCATCCAGGACGTGATGGTTCCATTCATCTAAGTGCTGTGGCAGGCAGCAGGCTGTTTGTCTAACATAAAAAAGCCTCTCAGACACCACACAAGGACATATTTCCCTATGAAGTCCGAAAGATTAGTGATTTCCCTGAGAAACAGCTTTAATATGCTAAAAATATGACCCATTCTTCCAGGGATGATGGACGCGTGTCTCAGAGATGGATTATTCAGGCCTCTCCTCTCATGTCTGCGTCGCTCTGAAGGATACAGCTCTTATGTCACTGATTTAAAGACAAATCGTGCTCAAGCCGAAAGGCCGTATCTGACTTGATTTGAAACAAATGACTAAAAAGGGTAAAAATACCCGATCTGTAAAACTACTTCATGGAGATGGAACGTGTTTTCTTTTCTTCACTGTGTCTGCAGGTAGTTTTTTCTTTTTTTGTGTTCATTATCCTCAAATTATTCCCACTGGCACAGTTCCAACTTAGTATGTTTTTAATTACAGTGTAGCTCCTCGGCTGCTGCAATCCCACAACACTTTGTTTCTGCTGCAGTTTGTTTGTAACCACCTAACTGTGAGTAAAAAGTTAAATGCTCTCCCTGCACAGTAGGAGAACCTACATACAAGCACTTGACGTTCGGTACACACAATGAAAAAGGTAACAAAAGATTAAAAAATAAACTGGATGGCAACACTGAGGCAGAGTGGTTTATAATTAATCACTAACAATTCTTTTGTTTTTTTTTCTTTGTGGTTAAAGAACTTCGGGACAATTCTACTGCGGTGAAACAAGCTGAAAACAAGTGAAAGACAAAGACAACATGGCGGCTTGGATGCAGCTGCTTACACAGAGTGTGCACCGACGTGCAGGACAGCGTTAACATGCACTGTGTCCAAACTTTATTTTTATTTTTTTTTTACATTTTGCAAAAGCTTTACAATATTTCCTCCCAAATTGTAAAGCTTTAGGAAACCACACAGCATGGTTCTGCAAAGTGCTTTACAGTGTCCTTTTACTATGTTCTCTTGATTCCAGTCAGGAAATTTAAAGAATTTATTAAGTTTTGAAGCCAAACTATTTTAAAATAGCAAATGAACCTTAGAAAACACAAAATGTTGACAAATGAGTAAATTTTACAAAAGTTCTTCAAACATTTTGTGTGGTTGTTGCTGAGAGTCATAAATAACACATACTGAAGTGTGTTAGCAAAATAACTAATGAATACCTAGATGGTCTCTAATTAAAATAAGTAAGTAAGCAAGTAAGTAAGTCAAATAAATAATTAAGTAATCAAAGTTAGTAAGTAAGTAAGTAAGTAAGTAAAGTTCATAAGTAAAGTTAGTAAGTAAATAAAGTAAGTAAAATTAGTTAGTAAGTAAGTAAAATACGTAATTAAGTAAGTAAAGTTTGTAAGTAAGTAAATAAGTAAGCAAGTTAGTAAATTTAGTAGGTAATTAAAGTAAATAAAGTAAAGTTTGTATGTAAAGTAAGTAAAATTAGTCAGTAAAATGTAAATAAAGTTAGTAAGTAAAGTAAGTAAGTAAAGTTAGTAAGCAAAGTAATTAAGTAAGTTAAAAGAGTAAGTAAGCAAATAAGTAAGTAAGTAAGTAAAGTAAGGTATGTAAGTAAGTAAGTAAGTAAGTAAGTAAGTAAGTAAGTAAGTAAGTAAGTAAGTAAAGTTTGTAAGTAAGTAAGTAAGTAAGTTAGTAAGTAAGTAAGTAAGTAAAGTTTGTAAGTAAAATCATGACAATAAAAAGTCCTGATTCAAAAAGCAACACCTGGACACTGTTAAACACTTTAATAGAACTTTAATTAGGGCTGCACAATATGTCAAAAATGTATTTTTAATATCATTACTGTAGAAATTTGCAAAACTTTAATCTTATTTGGCAATCAAACGGACCTCAGTGTTCTGAATGGTGAGTTTTGAAATATCACAACTGATTTTATTGTTACAACATTAATAATTACAAAATGTTTTCCTATTGTGCAGCCCTACTTTTACATCTGTTGGTAAATGCCCTTTTCAAATGAATCATAAATGTGGGAACTTTAAAAAAAAGTCCTCATTCACTATGAATATCTCAGGTTTTTATCAGTTTCTTAATGTCTCAAAAATGATTTAAAATGTAGAAAAACAAAGCAAAACTCACAAGTAACCAAAAACATGGTCTTACCTCGTTTATCTGATCCAAAGTTAACGTACAGAATAACAAGAAGCATGGGTCAAAGAGAGATATAGTACAATGTAAGTCAACAGGATTAGAGGTGCACTAGGCTCCAATCTTATCATCAAAAGTAAAAATGCTTAAAAAGGGCATTAACCTTAGGAGAGACAGCAGTGGAACACAACATACAAATGGATTCTTCTAGTTAAGTGAGAATGAGCTGCAAAACACTCTTTAAGCACCCAAATAGGCTTTTATTTTGGTAACGTCCCTTTAATTGTCACTTCTGCATACAGGCTAAAGCCCTTTTATCCTAAATGTACTGTATTAGGCCTGCAGGGCAGCTCAAAGGACTCGGCCCACTCCCATGCTGCATTGTGAAGCTGCTTTATTTCCTTCCACAGTCACGAGGAGTGAATTACTGACAGGTCTGATCCACATACGGCAGCAGGTGAGGTGGGAGACGAAGAGCGGGAAAAGAAGGAACATGAGAGGTGTGAATAAGAAAATCACAAAAGATAATGAATAAACTGAAAATGTGAACAAAAAAAGTGATGAAATAAAAAAAATGGGATTGGAAACGGGATTTGGAAAGGTGGCAAAAGGATAAAGGAAGTGGCCACAGGAGCTGAGAAAAAGGCTGTCTTGTTGTCAGACTACTGTAGATAATATGGTGAAGATGAATGAATTAAAAAGTTTAGCCTGAAGTCGATCTGTTACGACATGAGGGAGGGAGGTGGGTGGGTTACTGAGGGGTGCTGAGGAGGCTGGAGAGCAGCCAAACCTCTGCCAGCTTCCTGCACTAATGAGAGAAAACAAGACTGATGCTCTTCTGGGCTAAAATCCTTTGTTTTGGTGTCAGATTACAGGTGATGTTGTGAGGGGAGCAGTGGGGTGTCTAATCGGACGGGACGGGGGCTCACAACCCATTCATCACAATGTTTCTTTTGGTGACGCTTTATAACACCTACACCTCGATTAGCCTTACTTAATCATTAATAAATATTTAGTTAACCATGAAAACAAGGTCAATTTGGCATGGTTCCTACTTAATAAGCTATAAATTAACACATTCATTAATGTTTTACCCATATTTAATAACTCATGAACTCATATTCTATATATTGTCTGTATATGTGTATAAATGTACTTTCACACCATGTGTTACATGTATAAATGGTTAGAGAATGATTTAATTATGATTTAAGTCTCGTTTCCACAGATGAAAAGAAACTTTTGGCTTTTCAGGGTTTTGTCTACATTAACACAGGGGCTGAGCCAGAGGGGTGGCCAGGGTGGCAAGTGCCACCCCTGGCACCTGACTGGTCCCCCCAGGTGCCACTCCCAAATCATTAACAAGTGGGTCGGAATCTTGGATTTTGTTTTTGAATTTGTTCTCTTATAATACTGTACTGTATACATTTTCAGCTCTGTAGGTTTAAAAATGACTGAATTATAGTGTAAAATTAGCACTGGCATTAGTGGTTAGCTTAATTTGGGATTAGCATCGGCAATCTGCATATAAATTTAATTTCAATAAGTCTTAAAATGGATGAATAGCCTGTTAAAGCTAGCTGTGGTGGCCATATTTAATTTTTTTGTGTAACATTTAGAATTTGATGGATTGTTTCCAGATATTTCTACAATAATTTTCAACTTTAAACATGGCTAAATAAGAAGTTGTGACTAGCATTCAGTGTGTTTTTTAGCTATCATTGCATAAAATTTCAGCTCAATATTTCTTAAAACTTAAAGTAATTTGCAATTAACTGTGGCAGCCATCTTGAATTTTCAAATCCAGAGTGCTTTTCTCTATTTGTATGTCCCACCTAAAATAACACCTTGGGCACCCTTTGCAAAAAAGCCTAACTCCGCCCCTACATTAACAAACACTTGCCTTAATTAATGATGCACTGCAGGAATAGTAGATGGTCAATTTTAATGTTCTCTAACCGTTGCCACATTTCTAACACATGGTGGGAAAGTATATTTATATGAGTATTTATATACTTATACACACAGTTTACAGCCTAGTTAATTCATGCGTTATTAAGCATGAATAAACAATCAATATGTTGGTTTTTAAGGTAATGCCTATATGGGTAAGACATTTATAAATGTCTTAATGTTTTCAAGATTAACTAATCATTTATTAATGCTTATGTAAGGCTAATTAAGGTTTAGTATTTTGGTGCATTTTTCACTTTGGCCTACAGGTGAGTCATCGAGGAGAATTTGGACAACAACACAGAAGAAAAACCAATAAGTTTGAAAACAAGAAGAAACAGATAAACACACTGAGACAATGCACATTAACAATTTATCATAAAAGTGAATCTGGAAAGGAACAAACCAGTTCTGCTCTGTGGCACAAAACAAAAGAGACACACAGGAAGCAGAGAGACAAGAGGTTGTGCACCGTGACACACAGAAAGCCTCGTATCAAACCGACAAACATTTCCTTTTAGGAGCCCGAGCGGAGGATGTTCCGGGTGCGTGACCGGGCTTCAGGTGCGCCTGCGTCCTACCTCGTACTCCTCCTTGAAGCCGTAGCCCTCGGCGCACTTCATCTGGGTGATGTGCTGCAGGAGGTCGGCCACGCGGATCGCCGGGTGCAGCTGACCCGTCTGGTACGGCACGTCGACGGGCTCCCGCTTCCTCAGCGAGTGGGTGTGCGACTGCACCAGACTGCTGGTGTCGCTGCCCATGTTCTGACTCTCATCTGCTGGGTGGAAAAACCACAAAACAAAACAAAACAAACAGGTGAGATGGGATGATTAACGATGAAGAAACCTGATTTAAACATCAGCAGACACAAAAGGGTGACATAAGGCTTGATGCAGCAAATGACAAGTTTGTTTTTTAGGACTTTTACCAACATTTAAAGTTGATATAAGTACTTATTAGTTTATCTCTTAGTTATTCTCACAGACAGATGGCACATTATCCCATTTACTGCTAAGCATTATGTCACCTCCCTCCAGATTGACAAACAACTCTCAGCTAGTAATCTGTTTGTTATGGATGATCACAACAACACAACATCATTGAGTAATAAGATGAGTCATGTGGTGGGAAGGTTCAGGTCCATCTGTCTCAGTGTGCCTGGAAAATACTGAACTCTATAGCTGGCTTAAAGGGACAGTTCAGCCATCTTTGAGGTGATGTTCTGTTTAACTGACACCTCGTCGGATGTGTCATCAGTCACAGAGCAGTGTGGTGACGAAGAGACAAAAACCCAAACCGAAGTGTTTGCATTGAACTTCTCAGGCTTATAAAACAACTCTCTCAAAAATGACTGGTGTGGAAAAAAAAAAACACTACGTTAACATCAGTTAAACGTCTTCACTTGAAGGTTTAAGTGTAAAGACAACTATATTTCAGGCTGAGATACAATCTAACCAGTGTGGGGGGGTCTCTTATAGACCTTCAGTGTGCACAGGAAGAAATATCCAAACGAACAGAGACAAGCTGCTATAGAGCTCTCCATGATCCACACTTTACATCATTACTGACTTGAGAGTGCCGAAGCAGTCAACCAACTGGTGACAGACAGCAATAGCTATGTATATATGAAGAAAGTTCTTTGATTGGATTGAAATATATCGTTTACATGGGCACAAATTAAATTAAACCGATCATGAAGAGCAGTTTCGTGCACCAGACTTATTCAGAGTAGAAGTGCTGACATAAACTTAAAAAAATAACACAGAAGAACACGTTCTATTTCCATGATGAACACAGACAGATGTTCTGAGCACCTATGGACCGACGTCAGGTTTTAATAATGGTGGAGACATTTCTACACTCGTTTAAAGCTATTTTTTAAAGTTTCTAATAGAAATGTTGCATCGCTAACTGATCAGTTTAACTTCTCTGACATATTAGCATCTAGTCAGGTGGAAATGTGCCAGGCTGACATCGTGGGCCCGTGCTCAGTCAGATCAGTTCTCCACAACCAGGTTGTGGAGAACACACAAGCCATTCTGATTATCAATCGACATAAAGCACCCCTCTCATTGGGATTACAAATTCATTCCATTCGAGGTGAATCAGATCAGAATATTCCGATTGGTGTTTATTTATATTACTTATGTCCATGTAGAGGTAATGTTACTGTTCAATGGGTACCAGGACATACTGGCATTAAGGATAACCAGAGAGCTGACTACCTCACAAAAGCTGGCAGTCAGGCTCACTTCAAAGGACCAGAGCCTGTTGTAGGTATCTCAACAACAGTCTGTAGGACTGCCCTACAGGCCTGGATTTAGATGTCAACACTCAATCTGCTGGAGGGAGCTGATGGACTGTAGACAGGCTCGGGAATTGATAAATGGCCCAAATTTAAGGTTTGGAAAAGCTCTCAATTTCCTGACAAGGAAAACTCTAAGTACACTGGTTGGAGTCCCAACAAAACGGTGATGGGACTTCATGACAATGGTCTGTGTGATGCCTGTGGCATTAAATTAGAGACCTCTTTGCACTACTTAGACCACGGCCTGGCCCTGAGCAGTCAAGGAAAAAGAATTCTTGGGGACCCCTTTATGGATCCTGAGAAGCTCATAACACTGAGTGTTTCTAACCTCGTGTCCTTCATCAGAGAATAATGGGCCCACTTATGAGGCACCTGCTCATTTGGGTTCTTCATCCATCTCCACTCACCATTCCATTCCAGCTACGCTCACGTTTGTTTGCAAAATTCTGTCGTTCGGTTGAGAAAACAGCACTAAACTAAATTAGCACTACATTGGCTAGCCACTAGCCTAGCTGGGATGATAACTTTCGCCTCTTTCCTCACACTCAGTGCTCTAAGACGATGTCACAACTGATTAGGTACTAATTATTTGACATAACATCACTTCAAACTTGGACTTTTCCTTTGAGTAACACACTCATTACAAGCATTTATTATGACACGTGTCAGAGTAAACAAAAAAAAAATATACACACACACGAGGCCCTCAGCTGTGAGCGACTACGGAAATCAGTCATTAAATACAAATTGTCATGAATATGCTGTAAAACAACAGGTTTCCTTTTGTTTACTGGCAGGACAGTATGCTGGTTTGGGCTGCAGCTCGTACTGAGAGTCAGACTCCGTTCCAGCCCTTTCATACAGTAATCCAGTCAGTGGCAGACATGAGGCACAGATGCTTTGGGGGAGCCAGCGGACGATGGAGGGTGTCCAGAAACATGGAGGAGGATGTGAGGGAGTGGAGGGGGAGGGGGGTGCAGCGGGGCCACAAGTGAGCATGTTGCAGCAGGCACCATCAGAAAGCATCACACAGACACAGCGTGGATTCAGCCCTTTGCCACCCATATTTCCCCCGCCCCGCATTTATGTAAAATCATAAGAGAAATAATAAGAATATCAAACCTAAATAATAAAAAAGAAAAAAAGAAAGAAAGAACCCAGGGGGGGTGGGAGAAGAGATGGGAGGAGAATGCATGGGGTGATGCCGGCATGGGGCGCTGTGTGCACTGTGACCATGCTAAGCTAATGGTGGCTCGGTGGCACGGAGGGTGGTGAGATGCTAACATGTCCACTGGTCATGCAATCGATGTGAGAAGCAGCCACTCGCTGGCTCGCTTTCTGAATAAAAACACCGCCTCCTTCCCCCCAACCCAGGGGCCACTTGGGAAAACTTACCATTAATGGGCACTTTTTAGATAGCAGATACATAAGAGGTTACGTATGTAAAGAGAGAGAGAGAGGAGAAGAGACAGGAGAGAGGGGATAAGCAACAATACAGCATGAGAACCTGTTACAATTGTTTTAGAGCTACGCTATAGGCCAAGATCACATGCCTTCTCAGTTCAAAAAGCCTAACTGGGGCGGGGAGGGGGGATGTGGAGTGGATGGATGGGGCAGTTTGAACAGTGCAAGACAAAAATAAATAAATAAATAAATAAACAAAACAAGAAAGTCATGGATTTTTGGGAGAAAATAATGAAAACAAGCTGCATATTTCATCAAATTAGAATTTTGATATTCTGGCTGTTTTCCCCATAATTGCTATAATTACATTTTGCACGTGCTCATGAAAACACCTGCTTTAACAGCTCAAGGAATGTGAGATTAAGACAAAAAAGCTCTCCACTTCCACCACCACCATCACCAATCCCGAATGATCTAATCTGTTTTGATCGTTAACCTGAACTGATGAGAAAACGCCACGACTGAAAGTGTGCGACCTTTTCTGGCTGCTTTAATTTGATGCTAATCGCTCCACGCTTCATTAAACGGGGGAACTAACGTGAGCAGCTGTCAGTGGGGAACGTGATGAAAGACGCAGCTCTGAGTTGCACTGGTGTGAAAATGAAAAAAATGTATTTTTTTTAAAATGCAGTTCTGAGTTGCTTGTTGTGTCTTTTCTTTCGTGGTCTTGAGTGTTTAATTATTACACTTCCTAGTGCCCCACTTGGAAGCAGCGCTCTGCGCTCCGCTCGTAGAAACAGGAAAAGAAAAAGAAAAAAAGAAAAGAAAAAGCGTCTGCTCGCCTGAGAAGCTGCACTTTGAACTGCTCTGGATGTTCAACAAAGGGCAGTAATAATTAACAGAAGAACAAAATGCTTTCCGTGATTCTATTTTATCGCTGAAAAAGATGTAGGAGGGTGGGCCAAGAAAAAAAAATAAAATAAAAAACAGAAAAAAGAAACCAAAAACAAAAACAAGTAGGTCAACAAAATTTTGCCAAAGGCGGCGGGGAGAGCGACATTAAAAAGAATAATAGAAAAGGTTGTTGTTTAGGAAGGAGGGAGTGGAGTTAAATGTGTGGTGAGGGGGATGGGGGGGAGCTGTGGGGAGGGAGGGGGGGGCAGCGCGGCCAACGCTAAACTTTAGCTGTTCGGAGCAGCTTTTTTAGTCTTGAGCAGAGTTTTTTTTGTGCCTCCTTCTCCGTTCGTGTCTCATTGCAGCTGCTGTGGCTTTGATTCGCCAAAGCCTTGGTTGCCCACTCTTTTAGACCACCTGCCCCCCACCCCCCACCCCCAAAACAAAAACAAAAATAAAATAAAATAAAATAAAAACATCCAGTCCACATGTCCGTCCATGCATATGAGAG